TTTCATGGAATGCTTAAACCTAAAAGATTTGTTCTGGTTGTCTAATTTCTGCAAATATGGATCCATTGGAGATCTAATAGCATCATCTAGCCTTGTTACAGGCTAAGGCAGTCTTGCCCAATGTACTACTTTCCAGATTGTAATTACTTAAAATCTGGTAAATTTAATTCCAGGCAAGATGGGTGGCATATAAGTCGAATAAATAAATAAATTAAATATATGTCCATCTTTTCTTCTCCTAACCTCCATCCAGAATTTGCTTCAAGTATTGACTAATACAGATAAAAAGAGAATTATAGTTAAAGGTTACAAACAAATCAATTAAATATACTTAAATAATCCAAATTTAATGATATTCACCAGTTAAAATGTCTTTCAGCAAAACAAGCCACTATATTGCTAAAACAATTATCCAAACAATAAGGAGAGTTGTAAGTAGAAAAGGGGCACACCAAGTTGTTGGAGTCTGGTCATGAGCATGATGGTTACAAGATAGATTGGTTGAGCATCAGCTGACACAGAAATCTAAGCAAATCAGATTTTCTGTGTTTATGTGATGTCAGTACAGAGATGGGAAAATGCTTGGAGACACCAGAAGTGGTGCAAAAATGATTAGAATGCAGTAGTATTGCAGGCTAACTCTGCCAACTACCAGCAGTTCGATCCTGACCGGCTCAAGGTTGACTCAGCCTTTCATCCTTCCGAGGTTGGTAAAATGAGGACCCAGATTACTGGGGCAGTATTCTGACTTTGTAAACCACTTAGAGAGGGCTGTAAAGTACTATGAAATGGTATATAAGTCTAAATGCTGTTGCTATTGCTATTTTCTGAAAGAGAAGAGTGGACAGAATAACAGTTTGCTTGCCTGCTAAACTAGGCTTTATTGTGAATTACATGTGTCAAACCCCTCATTTCTTTTCCTGATTTTTACTTCAAATGTTAAAGTGATGTCTTCAGCATATGACTCTGAAAGATGAGAGATACTGTACTGTCAATGAACAACAACCAACCAAATATGACTTATTTTTTTTATCAGCATTGTTGCTTTGTACTTGTCAGAGCTTTGCTTAGGGCATGGCAATAAATCTCTTCCTATAAAACTCAACCAGCAGCCAGGAGTTAGCAGAGGAAAAACCAAGGACAAGCTTCAAATAAATAATTTGCTTTTATTGCATATAAAAGAAGCCCTAAATAATGATGATCACCTAATGCAGATGTAACAATCCAGTCTAGGGGAAGAATTGACAGAGCCAAAGGGAGAAGTAAAAAGAGAAATTGAGAGTCGTTACATAGCCACAAACAAGTCCCCCTTAATTGCCATTGAAATTTACCTAGCTCTTACCAGGTGCTGATCATTAGCTATGAAGATTTCTGTGCATAGGCTTTCAGGAATAAAACAGTTAAATCGAATCTGTATATATGGACCTAGTTTTTTGCACCTGACATAATCTTCTCAACTTGCAAAAATTTCAAATAGAGTGCAACAAAAAACCTAGCATGGCATCTGACCCACAAGCAGGAATAGCGGCTGATGAAGCAACAGTGGACACCATTTTATGAGGTCAGGATGGTGTAGAGAACAAAGTACACAATTTATCAGCAACATCGCTCCAACTAGTGCAACAGATGCAGAATTTGAACTGGACTGCACCCTTGATAGACCTGGCATGTGCAACAGTTCCAAGAGTGCAACCTGTGTTACAGAGAAGTCATGGAAGCCTGCTAGAAAGATTTGAGGAGAATCAGAAAGGAGGAGAATATTCTTAGTGCAATACGAGTTATTTATGAGAACCTGAGTAGCAAAATTTCTGATTAACCAGTCACAAGTTTCCTTTGTACTGACAGTCTCAACAGCTCAGTGGGCATTGCCTATTATCAAAACCAGTATCCAATTATGGATAAATATCAACAGTTCATGTTTAAATTCAGGGTCCACTTCAGAAATCCAGTAAGTAGGGTTGCCAGGTCTGCTTCCAAAAAATAGCGGACAAGCGGGGGTGGGGGTTAAGTAGTAAAAAAAGTAGACTGTACAGCTTTAGATTACGTACCATTTCATCATAAAGCTTTTGAATAAAAAAATGTCCACTATTTTGTGAAAAAAAATAGTGAATATAATGTGAAAAAAATGGACTGTCCACTCAAATAGTGGACACCTGGCAACCCTACCAGTAAGAGAGGTTACAGTGACCTGCAGGATTCATCAGGTTAACCAGGGTAAGAGAAGAGTCAGACTGTACATAGCAGAATTCAAATTAATCACAGCAGACCTAGGCTGGAACAAGCCAGCCCTAATTGCTCACTCACTTTCTCCATATGCCAATTGCTATGATCCCCTTCAAGTTTTGTATGGCACAGATCTGAGAGTTTTACCAGAGAACCCAAGGGGAGACAGCTCCATCATAGGAACTGTGGATTTTTTGCAAGAGCGTTTTGCTCTCCAGGTCCTGTTGAAACAGCAATTGGAACAAGAGAAGCAATCATATAATTAGGCTATGAACGCCCATCACCCATCTACAGGTAGGGCCACTGATAGCTAGACCAAGTTTTTGGTCTCTACCAGACTGTTTAAGAAACTAGAAGTTAAGTGGTCATCCATCAAATCAATCCTGTAGCATTTTGCTTGTAATTACCTCCCTCCATGAAAGTTCACCTAGTTTTTCCCATTCATTATTAGTCAACCCCCCCCTCACCCATTGCCAGTAATTGTGGAAGGAGACAAGTAGTACCTGAAGAGATAGATTTGCTGGATAATTAATTTGCTGGATACTTTGCTGGATACTTTGCATCCCTTCAACCAGATGATTAATACAAATGTTGATAAGAGAGAATCCTCTGGCAATCTTAATACTTCTCCCTAAAGTGAAATTGCATCATGTTTGAATACTCACTGGCTATGGTGATCCATCTAACAGTTTTATAACGTGACCAATTTTGTTACCATTTTATTAATGAGGATATCATGAGAGATATACTTTGCTAAGAAGATGTTCACAGCATTCCCTGGATTTGTTGATACGAGAAAGAACATTTAAAAAAATCACGTAGTTAGTCAGACATTATTTGTTTGTGCCAAACTCATACTGGATCTTGTTATTTGTTACGGTTTCATTCATGTACTCACTAATATGCTGTTGAATAAGCTGTTCAAGGATTTTGGGTCAGAGAGATGAAAAGCTGAGAGTTGCTGCAATTTTCTGGGCTTCCTTTCTCCAACTTGGAAGACATTTGTTCTCCTCCAGTCTTCCAGACTTCTCAGTTTGCTGGGAACTCTCAAAAATTACTGTTAATAGTTCTGCAGTCACCTTCCTTAGTATCGTAAAATAATTCATCTGGTCCTGGAGACATGGATTCATTTAAATTAGTGAAATTCTCTAACTCTTGCCTTTGCTTCCTACGTTTTAGCTCCCTCCTTCTCCTATTAGCTAATGAAAGCAATGGGGTTAGGTTTGGGGGCAAATGTCAAGATGTCCATACCATTTTTTAGTAAGATAAAGAGTAGATTAGATTATTAACCTTAGCCATACCTAGACCACATGGAGTATTCTCTGCTAAGAGAAATAACTCTGAGAGGTCCTTGATGCTCTCTGAGCTTGGTTGTTCAGAGAACACACAGGTCCTCTCATTTCAACACTGAGCTACAAATATTCTCCTTTATTGGTAGAAATGACATTATACTGATTCAGTTTGGCAAATGCTGCCTGCTAAGACAGGAGTACAACCAAAGTCCCTCATTACACTGAAAAACTAATAGAATCAAGATAATTTTTCTATTCAGCACTAGAGACAGCAGCAAATAATATAAAAGCTATACTCTTTATATATAAAGATATACTATATTTACAAAGCATGAATGGCAGATCTTATTTAGCTATCCTACAGTTTAGAGCACTCCTACAGGAGAGTACTTTAAGGAAAAAAGCTTTGGACTCTACAGTTCTCCCTTCGCTTCTCTTCCCTTTCAGAACATAAGAGTTGACTTTCAAATTCAAATTGTTGGTCTCTCTCTCTCTCTCTCTCTCTCTCTCTCTCTCTCTCTGTGTGTGTGTGTGTGTGTGTGCGTGCATGCGTGTATGTGTGCTTTTCAGAAAATAGATTTTTTTTTAGTATTCTAGTTAGGTACAATTATTTGAAAGGAACAAAAAATAATCTAGTTTGAATCATATCATCAAAGACAATAGTTAAGTGAATGATACCATATTGGTACCATGTTGCATGGGGACAGAATGTACTCAAGATTGATGACATATCTACAGCCCACAAGGCAATGATCCAAACAAGCAAGGAAAAAGACAACATTTCTTCTATTCTGGATATTGGACATAATTATGCTACACAATCTATGGGTTATTTGCTGACATCAGATGCTTCAAGGTAACTGAAATAAATGAGCCCAGTAAAAAACTCTTTTAGGAACATCACTTGTCCATTTTGTTAGCTAAGGTTATCAGTGAGAATTTGTGTATGAAATACATTTGTTATAATTGCTTATATTCTCTTTTAAGATAATAATTCTCCCAAACCTGTTTACAAATAAAAAGAAATTAAGTAAAAACTAAATATTATTTTAAAATAAACACACTACTAAAATTCTTCCTACATGACTGCTGATTGTAATAGGTCAGGCAGGTGTGGGAAGATCAGAGCAAGCTGAATCAAGTTTTTCAAGAGAGGAATATTTGGGGATGTGAAATGTTTATCTTATATCATGGAGAAGACAATAAAAATCATTTGGAACATGAGAAAGTCTCTGTCATCTGAACCATCCTCAATAGAAGCCCACATTAGAAAAACACAAGAGATATAGCAGTCACTCGTATGGTCGCCTCCCAAGTGTATTATTGCAATTGATTTAAATTGTAAATATTTTGCACAAAACTGAAATAAACCAAATATTCCAGTGTTTTAAAATAAAATGTTTTAAAGTACCACTAAAGTTATACATTTTACTGCAGCCATATATTTACTTTCATAGCCTTGATCTGCAAATTGTTATTTAACAGGTGTTCCCTCAGGACCTCGCAATGTAATCTCTATTGTCAATGAGACTTCAATTATATTAGAATGGCACCCACCTCGGGATACAGGAGGTCGTGATGATGTCACCTATAACATAGTCTGCAAAAAGTGTCGATCAGATCGCCGTAGCTGCTCCCGCTGCGATGACAATGTGGATTTTGTACCAAGACAACTGGGGCTTACAGGAACTCGAGTCTTCATCAGCAACCTGTGGGCCCATACACCATACACCTTTGAGATCCAAGCTGTCAGTGGAGTTTCCAATAAAAGCCCATTCCCACCACAGCATGCCTCAGTGAACATCACCACCAACCAAGCAGGTAAGATGCAGTTCAAAAAGCACCAGTATGATTTTCTTCATGAACATAAGGAAATAAAATTGAACAATTCGTTGACACAGTATCTGCTGTTTTGAATATAATCTTGATTTCAGAACCATTAAATATTGCAATCAAGTTCTAGAATTATCTATAGATCTTGCTACTTGTTATTTCTTCTCCTTCCCTTTTAAGCACTGGGAGATGGGAACAGATCTCTTCCCAGGTTTTGCTGTAACTAGTGAATTTATGGTACCCATGATATAGCTCTGATAGTCTTAATAGCAGAAGAATACTTAACAGCTCCCCAAAACATTGCCTTCTTCCAGTAGGCTTATCTGGGATAGTGAATTAATGAGGATAAGCAACAGCAATGCTGCAATGTGCATCAGGCAGGTAACTAAATTTTTAGTGTTTTTAATTACCAATAATATTCCCATATATTAATCTGGGGCAAATTGAGGTTGGATTCTGCAGCTGCTAAAATAAGTGCAACTCTCGAGCAGCATGCGAGTAGAACAACAGCCATGTCAGGCCATTAAAATCCATATGCTCATCTCATAGTTTCTTGGATTGCTCACATGGTGGCACTCAGTACTCACAGTCTTTAGCTGGTGGAAGAACTTTTGTTCCTAAAGAACAAAAACAAAATTGGTTTCTGAGGTAGTCACACTAGAAACATGATCTGGAAGGAAAACATCTGGAGCTACATAACAACTGAATAATAGCTGTACAATTAGCATTCTTAGCAGCAAAAATAAAACCACAGCAACCTATAGAAAGAACCAGAATTTCTGTTGGACTTTGTCTTGTTTTCTCCATCGATTGTTTTTTAACTAAAGATAATTGTGGATGACTGAATCACTGACTCTTCCTTAGGAGAGAAATGGAGTGTGTGGGGGGAGGTATCCTGATGCTGTTGGATCTGTAATGTCTGTACATGTATTTTTTATATAAGACTAAAAAGAAGGTGGGGTGGAAAAGCTGACAGGTAGTGACTCTGGTCAAAAACTTAATGAAGAGAAGAATTAACTATAGAATATGACAACAGACAACAATCTGTTTTGGTTTGGCTATAACAAGAGGATGAAAATTTTATGTGATATATATGAAATTGGAAGCTTTTATTAAGGCCACCCCAACAACCACAAGAATTAAAAAAGTCTTGGTATCAATATTTGAGTATTCTGTCTCCCAGAAGTAAGAACTTTGTCAGCTCAACATGTCAGACTGAATTGGGCACCAAAGATACAACTGAGATCTAAGCAGAAGTGTAATTCTTGGCAGTGGTGCTCTTTTGTCCTTCCTTTCTGCTTCCTTTTCACTTTGCCTGGTCATCTTCTATTGCTCTATTCACCAGCCTCAGGTAATCACCATTCTTTGGTTGGCTAAACTTGCAACCCATAGAGCAATCTCCAAATGTCTGCCCTTCCTCTTTTTGTATAGACCCATTGTTTTTAGGTGGTATGTGTTTTGCTCTTTTTTTTGTTCCTGTCAGCCAGTCTCCCTGCTTCCCATTTGTCCATTTGCTCTTTTCTTCCTGATTATTCCTGTCACAAAGCTGTGATTATTAAAAGTTGATATATTTGTATTGTATCTGGCTTTCTCTGCAATTATCCAGATAAAGTGCAATGGATTTTGGCATATTAAGTATATGTACACAGTGTTTAAAAGGCCTCAAAGATGGAGCACATATTTGGCAATTAGAAATGAAGCATTAGCATTCAGCACTTTTTAAGCAAGTAGAAATGGTGTGCTGGGTGCTACAGGGATTTAAAGTGAGAGCTATAGGAATGCAGAGAATGGACTACATAGCGCAGGTTTGACATTGACTCACACATTGATGCCTAACGTTTTGATTTGCTGTCCTCATTTTTTTTTTTTGTTAATCTGGAAAATGCAGCATATTTCTAACTGCAAGCTGTACTGCTTATGCAAGAAGTAACAGAAAAGTGTATTACAGGCAGCTGTATCTTTACATATCATGGCATACATTTATAGTCTGCATAGTCTTTATTAAATTCTTGAAGGAAAGAAACGGGGAACAGACTTTAAATAAGGACAAATGATGGAGAAAATTGCATGTTCTGAGTTCATGCTCAAAAAGTATTTATGTCAGTTCTCTTCTCTTTAATTAATCTAATTAAGCATTTTTAACAGAAACAAACTTGAATGCTTTTCTCAGGTTCGTAAGAATTGACCTATATCCTCAGCTTAGCCATCTGTCTACTCATTTACCCATATATTTCTTTTCATTTCTTGGAAACAGTTATCTCTCCATCTGTCCCTTTTGCCTTCCATAAAATTCTCCATCCAATACATTCCTATTTAATTGATTGTATCTGCAGGGCTCTCTTCAGTTCTTCAGCTTTTACTGAAGTGATAGGCCTGAAGGACTCTCTAAATGGAGTTGAGGTCTTCTGCACCACTGTCAATTTTATCCATTTGCCTGCTAGGCTATTGTTTTATGAAATGTTGCTAACTGGGCCTTTTCTCAAATGTACACCCTAATTTCCTATGTGAACAAGCTTGCAGGCATGCAGTAGATGTCATTATTCCTTTTTCAGCTGCTGTAGGCCAATTGTATATCAGCCACATGGCTTCTATACTGTTCTGTTTCAAGTTTCAAACACACATATGCACACAGAATTGCTAGGTAATGGTAAGCAATTTACTCAAGGCTGAAAAGACAAGCAAAGGAACATAAATCAGACTCTCTGAAGATAAGGCTTGCCTGAATAGTTTCACTTTCTACAGGAACAGACAGAAGAGTAGTCAAGATTCAATCTGAAGTTCAGAGAGGCAAGCAAGATTACTCCAAAGTTCATAGTTTCAGGATCAGATCTGCTTCTTAAATAAGGCTGCAGCCAGTTGTTTTTCATTAAGGCAGTCTTTGAAGGCAATCAATGAAGTCTGCTTCATTGAATGCCTTTGCTTTACTTTCAAGTGCTTGAAACACTTGGACTCTACTTATGGAGTTATGTGTTTCAATGCCTTATATCACCATCTGCTCCAGTTATTCTGATGCTGCCTCTGTTTGAGGAGCCTCCATCGAGGAGCCTTGATGTTTTCTAAATTGTGTTGGGAAATGCCCAGCTAGGCAAGGAGGAGGAATCAAGCAGGGAACTAGTGTTGAGTCATTGCACAGCTACAAGAGATTTAAGCCTGATCAGTTCCATGGAATCTTATCTGTTAGTTCCCAAGGCAAGGCAAGCAGTCTGGGGAGATTTCTGTACTATAGGTAAAACAAATAAAATAGTCAATTTGAATATTTCACATATGGATGGATCTGGTGATGTTTGACTGGTTCATCTGGAGCAGCTTTTTCAGATTCAGAGTCCTAAGCCATGATGTATAAAAATATCTCAGATAAACCTTCCTTTTCATTTTGCAACAGACATACCTATTTTATTTCAAATTTCAACCATTTGAACTTTAAAAACTGTCTTCTGATAGAAGTTATATTTCTTCCAAAAAAGTAGGATATAGAAGAATGCCTATAGAGTAATTAACTATTTTTTATCACAGGATGTTTATCAGGAGTAGTTTTATGGATTAACACATAATCAGGAAATTTCAGGAGTTCATATACCAATCTGTGCATTCCTGTAGTCTCCTGAACATCCTACTGCAGCTACTTAACTCCTGCTTGCTGTAGCAGTTATCTATTCACCAATTCCCTTCATATAACCAAGAGAAAGAGTAGTAACCTGCATAACCTGTTAATATAGTAGACATTTAAAGACATGGAATACATGATATATTTCAGTTTTCACTCTCCATTAATTTGATTATTCTGGTTAGTTGAATTCTGGAGTTGACCTTCCAGTTGTCAGTTTACAGTTAGATGTTTGTGTCTGGGAATCTTTAAAATAAGGCACCTTGTTTGTATTAGGAAATAAATATTATCAATGTTTTTGAGCTCCAGGTATGAGACCATACTGTTTACCTCACATTTTCATCTGAATCTTCCCCTTGACTGAGAGAGATACAGTTCCATGCCTTATGCTGCAACTTGTAGACAAGGACAAACACATTGTGCTAAATCATAGGAGATCAACTTGTAGGCTCAAAGCTATGCACAAATACCTTCTTCTGGTCCTTGGCACCTCTCTTGGTCACAGCTGAATGTTCCACCACTTTGGGCTGAAACATAGATAAATGCTGTGAAAGTTCAAAACTGACATACCACATTTTAAAAAAAAACAACTCTCCACCCATGTTTGACATCAGATAATTCACTCAAATTTGTGGCCCTCAACACTCTTAAACTGTTATGTTACCTTTATCCACAAAAAAGGCTGCTTACCTCTGCAGTAATCCATAATGTAGTTTGTTAGTCTGTCTTATCAGAATGTGTTTAGCATGTCATAATCTCCTTATGTAAGAGTTGTACACATGTGAATTGGTTATAAACAAACTTTCAATGATTTTATGTATTATGCTCTGTCTAAGACAGAGATTACTGTTTTTAGATGGTCTTTTTTCTGAAGAAAGTAGAACAAAAAATTCTGACCTGGAATATTATGGGATATAGCTTCCCCCATGATATTTCTGTAAGACATTCTGATGCTATTTACATTTCAATTGTTTTGAATTAATTTGCCTGATAAATTTTTACCAACAGATCTGTTATGATGATAAATATATTTGAGAAATCCCACAAGTATATTTTTCTTAATAGTGGTATATCTGTCATTTTGCTGATGTAACAAAATGTCTGTCAAATTTAGTAGCCTCTCAGATGACATGTCTTTAGATGTACAATCTTACAAAACTTAGTACATACCTGTTGCAAGTTTTTGACCACAAAACTGAGATAGCTGTGGCAGGCTTTGTTTTCTTTTTGTAAAGTAGACATGACATTTTTGTATGGCTTGATTGTCATAGCTGCCTTTTACAACAGAATGGCTGATATCATGTCTTGGAGAGAAAAAAAGTGGATATATAGCAAAAAGAGGAGAGTGTGTTTATAACTGAGACTTCTATCCATTTTTTTCAAT